CTTTTTAAATATTTATATTTTATTTTAATATTTTAATATTTTTAACATGAGACTCATATGATATTATTGATTAAAAAGTTATTTCTTTCTTTTATTCTTTAATAAGGATTACTTGAGACAGGTTGAATTCTTTAAAAAGGCTCTAGTGGAAATTCTCACCTTCCTACTGCACTCTCTTACCATTTATATCCTTGCTTTATCATTTTTTTCTTTTTTACCCTAAAGAGTAATTTGGAGGGACACAAATGTCCTTTTGCTTAGCCTTTTATTATTTTTTTCATTTTTTATTTAAAAGTTTCAAATAAATTTATTAATTTAATATAATAAATAAAATTTTATATTATATAATAAAATAATTAATAAGCAAATAATTAAAAATTAAATAAATACATAAATAATATTTGTTATTTTTAGTGATTTTTAATTATTTATTTGATATATTACTAAATAATAAATAATTTAAAATTTTATTATGTGCAAAATTTAATCTAATATACTTAATGATCATTTTCTTTTTTAATTATACTTCACCTAACCTTCACCACTATTTCTGCATCCAATGCATATTCTGTCACTTATTTTAGTATCATTACTAACTCTTTTACTATTTACATTTTTTGTTTAAATTATAAAATTGTTTTTCTTTGTGGTCTACAAATTTATAATGTTATGATCCAAAAAAGTATTAAAATTTATTAAAGTTAAAAATATTCGTCAATTTCACTATTTATTTTAGTAATTAGTTTTATCTATCACTTTATTACTTTGGCTAAAATAATAAAAAAAAATTAATACTTTATTATTTTATTTAAATAAATTCTTATATTTTTATTAAATTGACTTTAATTTGAACACAAATAAACCCTTAATTTTTAATTTGTATTTAAATAAATCTTTAACTTTTAATTTGTACCTAAATAAATTTTTAACATAAATCAATATTTGGTTTGAAATAATAATTTATTTAAATATAAATAAAAAATAAAAGTTTATTTGCGTATAACAAAAATAAAACAACTTATTTAAAAAAATAAAATAATTTAAGAGCTTTTCTAGTAAAAATGAAAATTATAACGGACTTAAGCAGAAAGCAAATAGTAAAAATCCATGGCAGATAACTAACTAAAGTTCAGGCTATTATAACTAAGCACCATGTCACCAAAAACATATCATCTCAAAAGCCAGCTCCTCCCCTTCCGTCATGCCTCTCTGCTCTCTTCTCCTCTTTCATTTTCTCAACAATTTCCAATATCTCTGGATTAAAGAAACGGTTACGGACAAACTTTCTCTTTAGAGCTTGTCTCTCCTTGATAGCGCTTGTCATGGACAAACCATCCGATTGGTTATTGAATTTTGGGCTTGGTCTTTTTCATTGCAACTTATTGATGCGATCCAATCTTTTTCTTCTTTTCTCACATACCAAAATTTTTCAAAATATTAAAAAAAAAATTGCAGCCATGCTTCAAGTAATACAAAACATATTGAAGTCATATCAGTTGTTAGAGCTTTGACCGTACTACCTGTCGTTGTGTATAAAAATGATATCAGAGTTATAGAAATGGTATCAAAGCTTAGCTTTGCAGCTTGCCAAGATAATGAAAAGAAACACATGTTTCTAAAGCTTTGATTATTGAAGTTGGAAAAGGAAAAGCCAAAAGAAAGTTTTATTTTCATGAATCTATCCACTTTTAGCAACTCCAGTTCTCAACCTTCTTCTTCTAGACTTCTTTCAGTTTGTCCTCTCCTCCTTCTCCTGTACTTAAAAAATCTTCCTCTTCTAAGTTTAAGTTCTTATATGCAGTAGATGATATTCAAAAAAAGCAAAAAAAAAAAAAAGTCTTCCCAACAAAAGCTCAAAAAAAGATATGAAAATAGAGACCCTGAAGTTGATCTTCTTGGTGAACCTTCAGGAAAGTTTGACTACTATGTCATCTATCCTAAGAAAAAAAACCACCCTCTCAAACTTACTTAAATCAACCCACACAAAAACCAGATTCCACCCAAGATTCCACCCAATCTTTACCAAAACCTTTACCACAAATCTCCATGATGCAACCAACCTACCCAAACTCAGATTTCCCTCATTTTCAAGAATTTCATAAAGACCAATACAAACACATTTCAAAAATCCCAACTCCCACTGGCAGAGATGAATATGGGAACCAAAAAAGTATTTCTCGTGCTGAAGCAGTTTTAAACTGGCAAACTAAAAATTCTCTCCAGCAGAATTCATACCTGTACAAGATTGAACATAAGTTGGACCAAATCAGTCAAAATTTTGATCAGAGCCTTGTCAATCTTCAAAATATTATTCTTGAAATTCAGTCAAGGATAATCACATTTGATCAAGAACTCATATATATGGCTGAAATCAACACTAGATTCACTTAGGCTTTCACTGAACGAGAGAAAGAAATGAAGAGCCTAAAGATTCAACTTGCAGACCTTCAAAATCAATTTCGTTAGAAACAACAACAACAACAGGCAGCCTCCAGTTACAACATCTTCACATCATTTCACACTGGTATACATGATACTCCTTACCAAGCCTATACTCATCCTCCATTTCAACCATACAATCCTCCAACATCACCTCCAAAACCTTTTTTCACACCTTTTCAGTACAAACCTCCCTCAACATCAATCCCAACATTTTCACAACCAACACAATACTTTACTCCTATCTCAGACCAACAATAACAACCTCCCTTTTGTACAACTGAAAAATGGATTCACAAATTTCGAAAAAAATAATCAGTTGATCTAAAACTCAAAAGAGTAGCAGAACAATCACTTTCTCAACCTTCAAAACCAAAACCCATCTCAAGTTTCACATCGTAAAACCCTACACTACAACCAAACCAAAAACCTGTACAACTTATGATTTCTCCTACACAAACTCTTCCAAAAATACATCACCAGATGGCACAAGACAACCTCCCTCAATTCTCCTTTGAAGATATTTTTTCTTCTACCTTTAAGATTGAATCTCACATGGATACTGTCAACTCAGATGAATTAATTGCAGCAGATGATACTGATGACTCAGATGAAATGATGCTCCCTCAGATTTTCATGACAGAACCAACAGTTGAAGTTCCAGATGATACTCCAAAAGTTCATAACCCTGATGCAATGGATGCTGAACAACACCTTCCTCCACAATAATCACATGTTCCTCCTTCGACATCAAAATTCTCAGTTTTTACCATTGATGATGTTCCTCCTTCAAAATGGCCCTCAAGATTTCAAGAGTTCTTAGCATAGGGACTCGTTGAATTAAACTCCCATCCCAATGTTACGATGAACACAGTTTTGATCAGATTTGTTTTCAAACTAGTTGAAACTCTGAAAAATTTTTAGGACAACATTAGTGAATACAGACAACTCCAGTTTCTTCAATGCCCAACAATCACAGAAGCTATTTCTCAATTTGCAACAATCTTTTGTAGACAAGAAACTCACAGATTGAAAAAGATCAGAGAAGAATTCTTCAAACTAAAATGCTATTCTCTTCATCCAAAAGATCTTGACAGACACTATCAACAATTCTCTCAGTATTTTTACATACTTGGTGGATTCGATGATGTCAACTTAAAGCAAGCCTTCCTCAATTCTGTTCTAGAAGAACTTGCACAACAAACAAGGATCCAGTTGAACCTCAGATCTCTTGATGTTAAATCTATAACCATTGGAGATATCTATAAGATGATGTTGAAAGCCCTTGATAAAATTTGCAAAGAGCATAAATACATCAAAACCTTGGTGCACAACTCCAAAAAGCTAGAAAAACCATGTTCGTACTCCTCCTCAGGACTTCAAATCAAATGTTCTTTCAAAGATCCCACATGTTTTTGCAGCAACAACAAAAAAAAAGCATTTCAGAAGATTCAGACCTTCCAGACCTCCAATTTTCTCCAAACCCAGACGTAAGAAGTTCTTCAGATATGTTGATAAGCCCAGAAGAATTCAAAGATTCAAATTTGCAAGAAAGAAAAAAGATCCAAAGATCAAAAGCTTAAAATGTTTTCTCTGTGAAAAATCAGGACACTTTTCAAAGAATTGCCCAAAGTCAGACAAAAAGTCAATCAAGATGATCCAAGACATTGCTAATAAATCAGGTATCAATCTCTCAGATGATGATCTTAAATCAATTTTCTCCCTTGATGATGAGCAGAATGAAAGATCCCTGTTTATGATCAAGCAATTTGATGATGATGAGTATGCAGATTCAAATTACTCAGAATACTCAAATGATTTCACAGATGATCAATGTTATGAGTATATGTCAGTCTAAGAATTCCAAAAAATCCAAACACTTCAACCTCCAAAATTGCCTTTAGCTTCAGTTCAGATCTTCCCTCGCAAACATTCCCCTCCTATAACAGTCACAGCTTTTTTTTATACCGCTGCAGCCCAAACCATAAGTGTTCCATAGATCAGACATATAACCAAGGTATTCTAACCGGTGTTCAAGACTCTGGCACCTTCTTGGCTTAACGTCGAACTGGGGGCCTGACTTTTATGAAGATATGTCTTTCACTATAGTAACTTACTATTAGTATGATTTTGGGGCAGTATAACTTTTCTTTGGTTAAGAGAAAGGGATCAACGATCTGTTTAACAGTTTAACAAAAATTTATGATGCAGAAGATCCATAATAATATGGTAACTACAGAGTATACTAAACTTAAATCACTGTAAACTATGAATAACTTGAAGAGATCATGAAGCTAAAAATTTTAACTATGAAAAAAAGAAGATGGAATTATCAAAAAAAAAAAATTTTTTTTAACCAAACATATTTTATAAAGAAAGGTTTTTGTTACAAGGGATTTTTCTTTGAGGATTACTTGATGATTCTGCACTGTTGGAGCAATCATATCCATGGGCTCATTAAAACCTTAGGGGAAGCAGAATGCAAAAGGCACGTTGCATTTGCAGTCTGGAATAAGATCCCACTTATCGCAATATCCGAATGTAAAGTATAAAAATGAAAATTACAAAAGTTGAACATTTTATCAGATGCCAGCAATTTAGCACTTTGTCCAAATACTTTCAATTTCCATAAGATAACAGAATTAAGCAGAAAGTATGGCAGCTGACTAAGTAAAGCTCAGGTTATTATAACTAAGCACCATGTCACAGGAAAAAAAAAAAATCATCTCAAAAGCCAGCCCCTCCCGTTCCGTCATACATCCCAGCTCCCTTCTCCTCTTTTATTTTCTCAACAATTTTCAATATCTCCGGTTTATAGAAACGATCATGGACAAACTTTCTCTCTCGCGCTTGTATTTCCTTGATAGCACTAGGATATGGGTTTGGTGGAGGTTTCTTTCCTTGAAGACGGGCAATTTGTTTCAAACGAGCATATGCCTTCTTCTTCTCCCTTTTCTCCATCCGATATTCCATCTATAAAAAGGATACCAATAGTTAAATAAATGTGGATAAAAATAAAAAAAAAAACTTTTTCTGGGTTGAGATTCCCTCCATTTTTTTTACCAATACCACCATGAATTATGAGTTCGTGGCATATGAATAATAATGATGAGTCTATGGGGTACAACAGGTCAAAAAGTATCAAAGGAGAGTGAGACCTCTTTTTCTCGGCTTCTTTATACTCAACAAAATCAAAGTATGCACTGGCAATTTAGAAACAAAAACCGAAAGAGAGAAAAAAAAGTCTTGAAATATAAGCTCAAGAATGCAAGAAACATACATCAGCTACGGCCATTGCTTCCTCCTCGCTGACTCCCTGCTCTTTCAACTCAAGCACCCGCAAGCCAAATAGACGTGCTGGAGGTGGATCATAACCAGAAATTCTGCATGTATGCAAGCAATAAACTTAATCCACTCATCAACAATATCTAATATGAAACCAAAGCAAGAAATGATTCAATCAAAGATAATCAAAGTATTATAAAAAAGCAAAACATAGAGATTATGTTCTCCCTGAAACTGCAAAAAGATAAATTCATGGTGATCAATCATCCATAAGTTAATATCAGATAGGATACCAATTAATATGATCTATTACTGGACAGATAAAAGTTGCTGTGAGTTATCGACCAAACTTCCAATATGAGAGATATTTCCTCGGTAGAACCATATTAAGAAACACCAAGGAGTTTCTCTTATAATTGTATCATGCTCCAAAGAAAAGCCCAAGCTTTTACTCCTTCGTTTGTGATAAAAGAGCCATTTAAATTCCAGTCATTTCCAAAATTCAATCAGCAAGCAAATAGATATATCTGAACACATGTGCAGACAAAAAACCCTTAAAACCAAAATGCATATTCAGTTCCAATATTGAAGATAAAAAATATTTTAAGCACAGGTGCATTTGACTCAACTATTCGCACAAGATCTTATTCATTGGCGTCATATGCGGTTAGCATCAAGAACACCAAACTCAAAATGCTGGCTTTCTTTTCTTCAGTCAAAAGATTAAACAAAATACCAAAATTTCATTATTAACACAGTGAAAAGGAAAACCAAATTGCCTCTAAGAATACATGTCTAATGAGCCTCACACCATGATATACACAAAACCGAATAACAAAAGAAACGGTAAGGAAAGGAAACTTATACTTGATGGCATCGTGACCTTTCGACTCTGGATATTTCTGCAAGAATTTTTTTGTGTAAACATCCTCCGGGAGACTGATTGTCTTAACTTTTCCATCAGCACGAGGAAAAGTTGCAGGCGGAGCCCTGTATGGCATGACCAAAACAAAATATCAAATATCATTCAAAGATTAATGCAGCTACATATCTATAGAGACAAATATTAAAAACAAGGTTAAATCAAAAGTAAGGACATGAAAACCAAAATTATAGAGCTTCATACACAAGGCATAACAAACAAGTTGATAGGAAAAATGAAGTCTCTTAATAATATTTCACATATTACATATTAAAAATCAGAGTTTCATGGACTTGAATAATTTATCTTCAAACAACGAATCCCCAAAACAAGCCTTTTAGAGATGACAGCTTAAACCAAATGAGAAAAAAACCAGAAAATGAAGTAGAGTCACCATTGTCAAGCTAAGCTAAGAGACTAACAGTTCCTTGTTCTATTTTTCAAGAAAAAGAAAAAAACAATGTAATCAATCAAAATTGTTAGATTTTCTTATTTAAACAATCCGGGCCATTTAAATTTACTCCATTTTCATAACCCAAATCAAAAGTTAACTCCTTTGATCAATTCAAAACAAACCCAGATTTTCAAATCCTAAAAGAAAGCAAATTTAACGATCCATTTGGATTTTAATTGCAAGAAATTAATAAAACAAAGAAAAATAAGCTTAAACCCAATAAAAAAAGAAGGGGAAAGATAGAGACAAACTGTTCCATAGCTTTGAGCCAAGCAGGCTGAGGCTTAGCTAAACCTTTGACGAGTTTCCTCGTTTTCGTTAACAAATCTCCTTTCATGAATGACATGTCTGCGCTTCTTTCGTTTGATTTCCTTTGCTCTGGTCGTGGATTTCTTCTCAGTCCACAAAAGGGAAAAAAAAACCTTTATTGACACGTCCTTGGGTTTTGAATTTTGGGCTTGGGTATTGAGTTTTGGGTTTGGGCTTTTTCATTGCAACTCATTGACTTGACCTAATTTTTTATTTTCTCTCTCATACGAAAATTTTTAAAGACTTGAATATTTAAAAAAAATTTTCGTTTTTAATTGCCTTTTGAAATCAAAACTTTAATAAAAATTTTCAAGCAGATTGCGAAAGCTGAATACCCATCTCAAAAAGGTATTTAAACATATTCCCATATCTCTATTTTTATTGCTATGCTCAAATTTTGTCTTTTTTCCCTGAAAATGCAATTTTAAGCAATCAATTTTGTATTTTTTTAATGTGTTAATGAGTTGAAAATTGTGAAAAAAAAAAAAAAAGCAATTCCCACTTAACGAAACATTGTATTTATTTATTATATAGCGTCCATTTAGAATTTATTAGTTTTTTATTTTCTAAAAAATGAAATTTTTAGTATTCAATTTGGTTAATTTTCTGATTTTTTATGAGTTGAGAAACGTAAGAATATAAAAAATGGTTAGTTTAATTTATTATTATTTGTGTTGTTATTGGAAAATAAGAAGGAAAGATTTGTTATAGAAATATTGGAGAAATCTTGTTGATGGTTCTTAACTTAAAATTTTCTTTTGTAATAGGTAAAGGAACAATCTTTTGATTTCAAAACTAAACATTTTAAGCTGTATTTGTATCTGTTTCAGTTGGAGTTTGTTTCAATTTGAATGGTTTTCTGGTTCTTGTTTAACTTAAATAGGTATGGTTTGATTGGAACTGAACTTGAATTTGGAAAAGCTTGGTGTATTGTGTTAGATGTAAATGTTAAAGGGTGCAGGCAGTGCTAGGATTTAGATGGATTTTCTATGTTTTCCTTGAATAGTCACTATCTATACAAATTACAACAAGGAAAAAGTTTTAATTTTGCAGTGAATATTGCATATTTAATGAAGCCCAAACTATATTCTGAGTCATTTTTGGTTAAAATGGCATGAATTTCTCTTGAAACTGACTCTCTTATACAGGTTGTTTTATGATTTGCAAAAAATGGCATCCGTTAAGGGAAATATGGCTCAGCCTCAGAAAAGTTGTAACCTGGCTACTAACACTGCTAAGGTTCAGAGTTCAGCTTCATCCTTCAAAAGGTGGGGTAGGAAGTATCCATTTATCAGATATGGGCTTCCAATGATTTCATTGACAGTATTTGGCGCAATTGGCCTTGGTCATCTCTTGCAAGGCAGGTTAGGTCTGGTCCTTGGATCTCTACTAATTCCCTAATTTGTGAATAGATTTTGGAACCACTTTAGCGGATGAGACTTTTGTTTCATCTGGTAGTGAATATATCTGCTGGTAAGAGAACAGCAGAGGTCATGTTAACTTTGAAGGGCAAACCTTGTTATGTTATAGATAATTGGCTCAGTTATGTTCATGTTGCTTTCCATATGATTGTAGTGGGACTTATGGTATTATGAGAATGAAATATTGTGCTAGAAACAAGTGATTTATCTAGCTTTAGAATAAAAATGAAAATGATAATTTTCTATTGTTGATCTGATCTGAAAGTTTCATTGGTGGTAGCTATGTAACAATATTGAATTTCCAAAGCCTTATTATGTTCACCTCTTTTGTGGGTTTATTTTTGGGGTGCTACTAAAGCTTTTTCACCATTCAGCAATGGTATTGGTTCCACAGGTGGTATTTGTTTCTTAAGTTGTTAAGTCAGTTGAAAAATTCAAAGTCATCATATGGTTGGAATGGAACATGTTTTATTCCAGATCAGCATGGAGATGGAGACTTCACACTAAAGCTTCTTTGTTTGCACTCAGCCTTATATCCTGCATTGTTTGATACTTACTTGCGCACAGACACACACATATTGTTAAGGCTGCCGTCTCTGCAAGTTTTTAAGGCTGATAACCAATTGTAGTTCAAAAGAGAAACGTCTTGATATGACTCTATCTGTAGCCGTTATATTTGGGCCCTTATTAGAGTCTCAAGCATAAGTATCAAGCTCTGTTAACTAGCAGTGCATGATTGTTGGTATGATCATGAGCGTAGACCAGTAGGTAGAGTTAGGAATATCTGTTTGGATTTCTAGTTTTTAATAGGAATATCTGTTTCAATTACCGTTACAACACCTCTAGTCTATAATAATATTTATATCTGTTTCTAGTTCTTTTCCAGTTCTTCTTAAATGTAATAGTACTTTGTAGTTCAGCAAGGATGTAGCAAAGGTGAAAGATGATCAAGAATGGGAAATTATTGAGACCAGGAAAGCATTATCAAGAACAGGACCCATTGATGCATATAAGCCAAAAAAGATTTCATTGGAGGAAGAGTTAAAGGTATAGTTGTTTTATCTGCAACCTCAAGTTTGTGATTCTCTCTGACGTACTTGCCTTTTCATCTGTTTTGTAGGCTTTGGAAGAGAAGGTTGACATAAACAACTACGACTACAAAAGAATTCCTAGGCCGAATGAAGGCAAGTCAGGCTAGTTGTGGGCTCTCTATCCAAAAGGTTGTTTTGTAGCTGCAAATAAGCATTAGGATTTTGGAGGAAAATCTTCGGGGTTTTTTGTTTCAGTACATCTTGATAAATACTTTAATCTAGTCTACTAAGAATCTGTCACTCATGTTGCTCTTGATTGTTGCAAACCCGCACACAGCTTTGATAGTTGAGATTGATTATGTAGCAAATGATTCAGTATTCCATTTCAGAATTTATAAATAATCAAAGCCTGTTGCATACATGAGCCGGAGAGGGCGGCTCATTGTACATGACAGCAAGAAACAGAAAATTAAAAGTGTTCCATTTTATTCTACATTTCTCAAATTCACTGCACGATGCAATAGTTTAGGATATCGCCTGAACATGCAAGTATCCATGCATGCATTTGTATAACCAAAGATGTCACAGGGGAGGAGGTGGTCCTGGTGGGAAGAGAAGAGGACAACAGCTCGTGAATAGACCACAGCAGCAGAGAAACCAGAAGCTGAAAGTGAAAGAAACAAAGCACAACTAATTTTTGCAGGTTTGAAATCGTTGTTAAAATGAGAGATAACAATGAACACATCATTACCATGACCCCAATGGTCGTCCATAAGGTCCTGCAGCTGATGGAACTTGTCGAGTTGGTGGTGCATCAGGCGGTGCCGGTGGATCCATCTTTGGGAGATGAGATTATTTCGAGTTCTGTTTATCACAGATTGAAGTTTGGTTTTATGATTGAGAAGAATTGTTTAGCTTGGATAGTTCTATTAATGACCGGTGAAACTTAACTTTCTTCACTACTGTGTATCTACCATTCAACAGCATGCTCACGTCAAAATGTTCTTGCATACCTCTTATGTTCCTCCTGAAGCTGGCCTTTTCCATATAGCTGCTTCCTTTTTGGTACCTTGCTGCCAATGTGTTTCCACGTAACTGGTATTCATTTCAACAACCATCATTAGAAATGGAGGATTGGGGCTTGTCCGTCGGCGGTCTCAGCTTTTCCTGGTAATTTCTTTTTTTCAACCAATAGTTTTTCATGTTAGATTTTATTTGATTTCGCCATTTAAGCTTTGCTTGGTAGGGTAAAAAGAAAAAGGAAAAAGGAAAAGATGGTAAATTGGACGAGAAGAAAAATGGAAAGATCAGAAAATATATTTTTTCTTTTTATTAATGTGCATGGTTGAAAGGATAGAAAAATAATATATATTTATATATATAAATTTTTTTCATTCATTATTTGGTAAATTTGAAAAATAAAAAAAAACTAAAAATTACATGATTTTACCATTACAACTTTTTATAAATTAAGAAAAAAAAATCTAAATATAATGAATAATTTTATAAATATGTAATATATTTTCACACCTTTTTTATTTTCTCTTTTCTTTTCGGTTTGGAGTTTTTTTTTTTTTTTTGTCAATGAGTGTAAAAAGGTTATAATCCTTATTCATTTTTTTTTCTACCAACCACACCTAAAATTCATTCTCCTTTCACTTTTCCATCAACCCCTTTTCATCCTTCTACTTTTCAGCTTCACCAAACACAACCATTGGGTGATTTGAGCTCAATTATATCTACGCATGAACCTAAAAGAAATCTACGCTAAAAGAGAAAAATGGTTTGGTGCTGGGATGGCAAGAACCTCAATTTGCAAACTTTCCATGGCTTCGATTTTACGCTCTTTCAAACTTCAACCATCAGCATGCAACAAACATACTAATAAGGTTCTGATTTAACAGATAAAACAAAGGTGTTATCGACCAAGCAGGACTGATTAGTAGACAAGTATTAGACCATTTTCTATTCTAACATTCTGAGGTGATTGCATCAGAACAAGGCACAAATCTGTTAACTGCAATTGGCTGAAGAATTGAAGCAGGTAATTATATATATATATATATATATATATATATATATACACGTACATACTAGCTCACCCCAATCATTTGCACAATTACAAACATATTAACCCAGTTTCCCCCTTAGAGAAAAAAGCCATTTCTCTTTATGTACACCCCCGGCCCCCCAACAACACAAAGTTACAAAAATGGTGTAAACCCTACCTACTCTTCTCTTTTTCTACTCCCAAATATATTCTTTTGCTCTTTTCCCATTTCTTATTCATTTACATGTTTAAGGCTGGACCAAAATCACAGCCAGAAAAACCCTCTCATCCTTCCACTTTATCACCTCCCCAAACAAAATTTTCCAAAATATAGGGAAAAAAGCTCAAGAAAAACTATTTGACAATAATTGCCATATCACTTCCAATATTACCTTGGCTTTGGTTGTGATCCAAGTGACCATAATGGTTGGACAAGCCTTTGAGTTGATGGACTACCCAATAACATTGCCTGCGATCGAGTAACCATCTCAACCATTGATGGGGTTTGATAATTCTGAATCAAACTTGAACCATCAGTGGAGTCACCTCTTGCGGTAGCTCTTTGCCACGAGTGTGAGCTCAGTCCTGAAAGAATATATGCTCTCCCAGATGCCTCATACACATGCCTACTTGCCATCCTCTCTTGCATCTCCTTGAGCTCAGCATCCAATGCAACACAAAGTCGGTCATGGGATTTGGCAGAAACAGTCTCGGACAACATCCTTCTACAATTTTCAAGGATTGAAACAGCACCTACTAGATCTCCTTGCTCAGCTGTGGTTCTTGCCTGTGCCATTGCCTCTGCTGCTTGGAACCTGTTGCGTTGCCTGTCTACTTCAATTGACACTACTTCCTGCCCAGCTATTTGAGGTCTTTGAATCCTAACTACATCACTCTCCAAAGTTGTCATTTCTTTAGTTAAGGGATCCCTATAAACACATTTGACCTTTAGCAATGATGTTTCACATTCAGAGGACTCTGCGGGTACTTTAACTGATACCAAGAAATCCCTCTCTTCATCAGCATAGAGATCTCCAACATCAATGAATCCAGTTTTTCCATCATCCATTACACGGCTTGGATAACTTCCAGCTTTAAGCGGGCCAAGGGAGAGACTTGGATCCACACACTCCACACCAACTTGCAGCTCTTGAACCACAACACTTAAAAGACCACCGATGCATTGTGCAAATGCATCCTGGATCACAGCTTCAGTTTCGATAAAAGAAAATGTTCCTCCAGAGATCTCTGAAATTGAATGCATTGATGAAGCATCATGATCTGCACCAAAACCAAAAGCATGCACTGGAATCTGGAATCCTGTGTTGTCACCAGCATGCATAGACAGAGGGACAAGCAACTGATAATTAGGTTGAGACTTGTTTGCACCAGCACCATTGACATTATAAGTATCCTGCCCATCAGACAAAAGTATAATGCTGGCAACTGGATTCTTTTCCCTCCGATCTTCCATTACCTTGGCACCTTTTCTTAGGCCTTCAGCTATGTTGGTACCACCATTTGCAACCAGAGAGTTAACAGCTTGAAGTGCCTGCTGTCGTCCTATGTCAGACATTCGACGAAGTGGAAAGAGGCGGCGAGCAGTTGAAGAGAAGGAAATGACTGAAAGTCTATCATTGCAGCCAAGGTTTTGTATTACAAATCCCATTGCCCTTTTTAGTAATGCAAGCTTGGTGCCAGCCATGCTACCACTAATATCAAGCACAGTGACTAGGTCAACAGGAGCACGAGGATTTTGAGAAAGTTGAGGCAAGCTAGCATGATTTCTGCTGGGATTTTGAATTGCATCTGTTGCAGCAGCTTTAAGATGAACAAGAATGGTGAAATTATCATAAGAACTGGACCTTGGTAAAGTTGAAACCTCTGGGCACGTTTTGATCTTGATTGTTCTAAGAGACAAGTCATCTGAGGAATTCTTACTCTCAGCAATCACAGGTGGGTGATCCAAGTATTCATCATCATTAAAAACGCCTGGCTCAGAAGCCTGGAATAATGGTACAACATGTCGCCGACTTAAATCTGGACGAGGTGGAGGTAACCGGCGGACCACAGTCATCAAAGCATCATTTTGTGGCCAACCTGCATGATTAATTGCTGCTCTGACAGGGGGAGGATCCAAACTGGGGCTCTGCATGGGGATTTCTTTCCATTTTGCTCTGCAAACTGGACAAATTTGGTTACCATGCTTTACGTTTGAAGCAATGCAATGGAAGTGGAAAGAATGTGAGCACTCTGCAGTGAAAATTGCATGGCCACCTCCATTTTTCATCTTGGTCAAACATATTGAACATGTTTGCTGAAACAAATATAAGATACAAAATTAACATCGGAATGCATTCTTCATAAAAGAAAATAAAAACCAAAGCCCAGATAGCATGAAACATAACCCATTTTTTCGTTTTCAATAAAAAATAATGAACAGAAATTATAAAGAAAAAAAATTTTCTCTAGCCAAAACGGAAAAATGAAAAATGTTGGGAATAATCAGGTTTAGGTGTGAATGAATTTACTTTGGGCCAGACCTAAAAGTAGCATCACCAAAAAAGGGAGACAAATAAAGGGCATATCATGGAAATAAAGCTAAGAATCAAAGAAGTAACTCTAAAGAAATTATCAAGTAACCATTCACTGATACAGATGAACAAGAACCAGATCTTTAGAACAACTAGGAAAAAAAATTGAAAGCCCCATTGATGACAGAAAAGGAAATTATATTATGCTTTTCGATATTTCTCTGCCTTTCCTTTCTTTTACTTCTTTGATGAAATTAAATGCTAGAAAGGTTGCCGTTTTAACAGTCTGTAGATGAGACCATCAAGAAAGGCAACCTTTTTCTTCCCCACAAGTGAAGGAGGAAAAGGATAGGTAAATCTTGATAGTCATCTTTTACTAATAAGGCAATTAAAAATGGTCATGAAAGGGACTTGTGCATTAAACCCCACAATCCAAAGGAAAAATCCAAAGCTCAACTAGTTAGGTCAATAAACCCACTTAATCGTCAACAAACGATAAAATAAGAATAGAATGATTAGATCACAGTACAACCTTTAATTATTGAATTAGACATTTTCCTAATCACATATAAGAACAAAGATGTTATAGAAACAAGAAAATATGTTTTAAATTGCGCCAACCAAAAACGAAACAATTAACAAAGTTCATGCAATTGCATCAGCAAGCAGATGAAAACAAAAACAAGGTCATAATAGACGGAACAAGCATTCAAAACAAAAACAGGGAAACATTATGAAACGAACAAAGGGAAATTTTGGAGCTGGCACCTCTACAGAGCTTTCAAAGGGAAAATAACATACTAGGCTCTAAATATAATTGGTGGTGAAAAAGAAATGGGTAGATTTTCTTCAGGCAACAATATACAGAAAATTTTGAATCCAATACAGCAATCATTTAGGTAATAAAGCACAACCAAGTAGAGATATTCATTATTCAATTAAGGAATAGAAAATATTTTTTCGTTTTCTTTCTTAATAACCAACATACCACAACCGGAAAACATCAAGCATCATCCGCATCAATAATTAAAATCACAATCTCAGCAAATATACATTAACAATGATAACCACATACCATTCATGGTAACCTAGCTAGCCGTCTTTAGCTTTCCATTTTCTTAAATAAAACATAACCAAATACCAAAAACTGCATAACCCTTTCTTTCCAAACCATGTTATATTCTCAGGAACCAAACAGAAATTACTGTAAACCCCCTTCTCAAATTTATAAAACATTAGAAGTCAAAAATAGAGAGCCTAACACCCCAAAACTTCAATTCCCTCCTTTTCCCACTCATTCTCACATCAACAAACAAGGCATAGCCTAAAATGACCAAAAGTCCTCAAATAAACAAAATTTACAAAATCAAAATACAGCAAAGCAACATCCAAAATTTTTTATCTCCTCTTTCCCACTTACCCAAATTTACAATAAGCAATCAAACAGAACATGTACACACAAAAAAGAAAAATTGCAAAACCAGATCAAACCACAACCTGGTATAGGAAGTTTCTTCCATTTTCTGTTTTTCTCCACCATTTACTCAGCAAGAAAAATAACTAGAAACCATCCAAAGAGGAAAAAACAATTACCAAAGTTTTATTTCTTTTAACAAATCCTTATGTATCACAACCAAAGACAAAGCATAGCTCAAAGAAATAAAAATAAAAATCTTTGACAAAAAAGCTAAGAACTTAAAGAAAGGAGGGAGCCAAACCTTGGATGATTTGCTTGAACTTCTAGACAAACTTTTAGACAACCTTAAACCATGAGAAGAAGGCAAAGGAGTAATTGGTCTAGGAGAAGCCATATTTTCCCAGTTTGAAGGAGATAACAAAGCAGCATCAGATAATCTTTCAGTAGATGGAAGTGAACAATAATCATCATCATCTAAAGTTCTAGGTAGATAAGCACAAAGATTCAAGCCTAACGCCAACTTTGCTTTTCTCCATTTACTACCCATTTTGACCCAAAATATAAAAACAAGTCTTTCGAACCTAAAAACAAAAACGCAAAGTTAAAAAATGGATCCTGAAGTTGATTCTAAGGTCAAGTTACTACCTTTCACAGAGTATTTTTTTTGGAATGGGAAAGAAAGAGAGAGAAAGAAAGAAAGAAAAACACTGGGTCTTTCAGAAAAGTGGATATGGAACACGAAAACCAAGAGAAAATATATAAAGAGAAGAGAGAGAGGTTTAATGGAGGTTTTGTTTTTGTTTAAGAAGACTGATAAAGCTGTGGGTTTTTTTAGGCTAAAATGTCAAAGGGATTCAGTCACAGTGAGAAGATATGGCTGGTTTATAAGAAGCGCAGGATTACAAGTCGTCATGTTGTATTGTTGGCCGCCATTGAACAGAGAGAGCTGATGTTTGAGAGCCTTGATATATGGGTTTTATTGAGATTTGAGAATTGTTTGACCTTTGTTGTTTTTTTTGTCGTTGGGAGAGGTAAAAGCACGTTTTGGTTGAACAGCGAAAAGCCGCTGCCTTTTTTTTTTAATAATGCTCCATTTATAATGCTACTTTTGCTGTCAAAATACTCAATATACTATACATATATATATATATATATTTGCCAAAATAATCCTTCGTTATTCGCAATCTCAATGCACCCATTTACTTTTTTATCATCAAAATTCACTATATTTTGAGTTTTTTTTTTTGTTTTATTGAACGGCTTAAAGATATTATTTTATATAAAAGATAATATTAGAAATAATTTTTAAATTATAATAAAATATTAAAAAATTATTTAATATATTAACAGTAGAGATTTTTAACTTCACGTATAAAATTAAGATGATGATATATATCTTATTTATTTTTTAAATTAATTTTTTTAAATATATACAGGACATATATCATCATCTTAATTCTACTTATAGAGTTAAAAATATTATATTATCAATATATTTAATAATTTTTTAAAAATATTTAATGTATACATAAATTTAAAAATTTAAAAATATAGTACTTAAATTATAAATTTATTAATTAATATCGTATTCATTCATATCATGATTAATTTCAAATAGTGACACATGATATAAAATAATTTTTTAAATATCACATTATTTAAAAAATTTATAATTCAAATATTATATTAAAAATATTTTAAGTTTAAATATCACATTTTTTATATTTAACTAATTTTAAGGGTGCATTTGGATGTGAAATTTTAAGAAAGGATTTCATTTATAAAGAGATTTTTAAAATTCTAAAATAAAATTATTTTATTTGACAAAATAAAAGTTGAAATTATAAAAATTCTTAAAATTTGAATTAAAAATTTTGGAAAGCTCAATTTCTCTTTTCAAATTTCATCTATGAGATGGAATTTGTAAAATTCTTTGGTTTTATGGTAAGAAGTCAATAGTTATTATGTTTATTTTTTTATGTAATTTTTGTTTTCTTCAATTTTAACAAAAATTTTTATTATAAATTTAATTTTTTTAATTTTTATAGTATTAATAATATTTTACTTTTTTTTTACAAATTTAATGATACTCATGTTACATTTTTTTTAGTATTTTATTTTTTATCTCCAATATCATTATTTATTTATTCATTTTATCAAATTTTAATATTTAAAATTTATTTTTAAAAATAATTATTGAAATAATATAATTGTAAATTTTATTAATTTTAAATTGATACATTTTAAAATGTTAATATTTTAAATTTTTTTATCGAAAGGCATCTTAAAATTATCTTTAAAACAATCTTACCAAAATCTTTTTTTTTTTCATCTGTGTTTAGACAAGCCCTTGGTGCTAATTGGTCAAAATTGAAAGTGCTGTCAATATTTTTATTGTTTTATACACAAATCATTAAAGCTTCTTTTGACAAAGCTTTTAACTTTTTTTTTTTTGAGAAAATAATAGAAATGATAAAGCAAAATTTGAAAATGAATAAAAATAATAATAATAAACAAATATTTTTATCAATTGAAATTTGAATTATCAACAAGTGATTGATTTAATCGATTAAAGTTATTTTTTTTCGACGAAAAAGTTTTGAGTTTGAATTTTATCGGTGATCATTTGTTATGATCATCTCGAATACACGACTTACAACAATCTATCTTATTCTGTCAGGTACAAGATATCTTATTCTAACTTAAAAAACTAAACAACTTATTTATCCCTAAATTTTTCTTACAAAAAAAAAAAATTGAATTAATACTCGATTTTCATATTTCCAATAACATAATAAAAAATTCTTAATTGATTTCGAATCGAATCAAACCTTAAAAAAAAAAAAAAAACAGCATATTATAAAAACAATGAGGTTAAAATCAATTTAAATGTTTAAGTTATACAATGATAATTGGCTTTTATTTTTCAAAAATAAAAATAGTTTCTCTAACCTCACTAAAGCTTCAATTCATCAACAGGAGTTGGTGGAATTATAAAAATCAAATACTTTGGTAATAAAACTTAAGTTTTTTTGTGGTAAAATTATTATAATAATTTTAAATTTAAGTATATATGAGCATTTAGTTACACTTTCAATTGGGGTTTGTGAAAATGTTTGGAGATTTTTTTCAACAACTTTTTTAGATGTTTCTTTGAATATCTAGCTTCTAAATTTGTTAATTATTGTTTTGGTTTTGTCAAATTTTGTTTAACAAAATCTAATTTTATTTTTTTTTCAAAATTGACAACATTGAGTGCTATCTTTTGTTGCCAAGCTATCAAACTTTTGTAGATCTCTTGGGAGGTTTACCTAATGGGTGAAAGGCATTGCATTATTATTATAATTTTATATAAAGAAAATTGTAATATGGAAAGCAGTACTAGATGTTGATACTTGAATTCTAAATCTATTGAACATCACATTTTTAAAATTATTATATAAATTAATTGAATTAAATATTAGATTTATTGTACATTTTTTGGATAAAATTTATATGAAATTTCATAAGCAAAGTTCATGAAGTTTTTTTATTAGAAATGAGTAAATAAAATTTTAATAAAAAATTCAAACTAATAGATTGATAGAGTTCAATGTAAAAATCAATAATATATAAACAATTATTAAAAATACTGTTTGTAATTCAAATTTGATCAATATTTATTCAAAAGTAAAAATTCTATCAATATTTTTATTAAAAATATCTATTTAATAAATATATAAAAAAAATTTCAAATTTTTTTAAATTTTGCACTCTTAATTTATGTAATGAGATTTTTAAATTTTTAAATTTTAATTTTTGATTTTAATTTTTATTTACTCATTTTTAATAAAAAATTTTTACAAATTTTACCTATGAAACTTCAAGTAAATCTTTTCTTCATTTTTTTTGGTATCAATGTTTGATTGCTAAATATCACTATCCCTTTGGCTTATAATTTAACTTTTAAAAAAAATTGTGTGAATCAAATAAATTAAATATTAAATTTAATAATTTATTTTGCTATCAATGTCTGGTTGCCAAATATCACCATCCTTTTAGCTTGCAATATCAAACTTGTTAGCATTCTCTTGGTTGCTTTATGAAATGGATGATAACATCCAATAATTTTAGTGTATAAGTGGCTGGTTGTCAAATCCTATTTAAATAAAATTTCATACTCCACTTAGTTAATTTTTTTTTTTTCATTTCTTAAAGGATAGAAATAGAAAGTGCATTTCAAAATTGTAGGTTTGATCGAAATTTTGGTAATAAGAGTAAAATTTGTGAGATTAAAAAAAAAATCTCTGATTTAATTTTCATGGTAGTGTACTGTTTCCCTATGGTTTTGTTGAATTAATTTTCATGGATGGGTGAGAGAGTGGTCCCCATGGCCATGAATGTTATGAATGATTGTTTTGTGTGTGTTGGTTGGACAATTGGGCAATGTGGGCTTTGAGTCAAAATCAAATACTCAAAAAATTGGTGGTATGATGATGCACTATTTTCCACATGACATCATGATAAGTATGTACACACGTGCACATCATTGTTCTTCCCCCCACGTCAACCCCCATTTTGACATTTCTAAGATTTAGATTTTTTTTTGGGTAAATTTTATATGATTTAGACTAGATTCTCCTTCACATGACTTGGATTTCACTCTTTCAATTATTTTTTGGGGGACAATTGAAATAAATATATGTAAATAATATTCTTTTAGCATATAAAAAGTTTTTTAGAGGGAAAAAGAGTAATAAAAAAAAAGATTATGAGCTTTTTTATTTATTGTTTAATAAAATACATTAAAATTTGAAATTTCCTTGCAAAATATGGTTTTTATACCATTTATTATTATTATTATTTTACCATTTATGATTATTGGGTAATAGAGCAATTGGAATTGCTTAATAGATAGAATAGTGTTGATTTATAGGTCAAATTACACAATGAAAATTCATCTATATGTAGATAGCAAAAGAGCAAAACATTTTTTATGAATCTCATTCTTTTAAATGAACTACATCATAAGTAAATAACAACAATAATAATAATAATAATAAAGGTTAAATACTCATTTGATCCATGTACTATACATTTTTTATTAATTTGATACTTAAAAATATAAATTTTGTAATTAGATAGTTGAGTTTTTATTTTATCATCTATTTTGATACTTTTAACTAACAGCATTAATCAATTTGCTGATGTGATATGAACATAAAAAATTTAAAAAAAAAAATTTTTAAAAATAAAGAGCTAAAAAATTTAAAAAAATCTAAAAAAAGAATTGTGAAAATTTTAAAAATTAAAAAAATAAAATTATCTAAAAAAATCCAACAAATTTAACAAATCTAAAATATTAATAAAATATTAAAAGACTAAAACTTCTATAAAAAAATTTTTAAATATAAAAATTATATGAAAAATTCAAAAAAAAAAAAAAACTCAAAAAAATAGAAAATTTAAATATCTAAAAATATCTAAATTTTTTTAAAAATTTAAAAAAAATCTGGAAAAAAAATCCTAAAAATCTAAAAATAAAAAATCCAAAAAATCTGAAAAAAATTGAAAATTCCAAACACTGGCTTTTCAAAATTTTAGGAAGATTTTAATTTTAAGATTTAAAAAAAATTAGGATTTTTTATTTTTAGATATTTTTTAAATTTTTATGATTTAAAAAGAATTTATTAAATATTTATATTATATTAATAAATTAACTAACGACATTAGTTTAATGTATCAAAGTGAATAATAGAATAAAATTTAAAATATTTAATATGAATTTTATTATTTTAGATAGTAAACTGATAAAAAAAATAATATATGTATTATTTTTGTATTTAACCTTAATAATAATACATCATGACATTGATTAAAGATGCAACAATTTTCCCTTAATTTCTCTTCTAATTCTAATCTAAAATTCAACCTTAAAATCTCTAAGAGAACCCAATCACCCACCCCTAGTACTTTAGTTGATTGCCGGCTTTTTATTATTATTATTTTTTCACTGCATCCTCCCTTCTAAGCGTTTGTATATATATATATATATTCAAGTACTATTTTCTGTTCAATTCTTCCATTTGGAATTATGTAGTTGATGATAT